GGGCCGCGGGGGAGCGGGGAGTGAGTGCTTCCGGAGGGGAGGGAACCACTGGCAAAGACCTGGGAGCGCGGAAGGTTGCAGGGCGCCCAAGGGAAGAGGGTGTTGCCTGCTGTCGTCACCTGGGCTGGGCTCGGGGACCTCGCCTCTGCAGTGGGGCGGAGATAAAGCGTCTCAACAGAATTGGTTGGACTTGAACCTTTGAACTTGTCGGGCTGAAGCAATGTGTAATAGAAAATTCAGACACTGGCCTGTGTTCTCAGCCTGGAGGACAAGCATCAGGCTAAGTTCTGCTGGGCAACCCAGCCAGGCAGTTTCCAGCTCTTTTCATAAATTAACTAGCAATCCAGTGCTGAAGATCCCACAATTAGCCCCATTTATCAGTGAGGAAACAGGCACTGAGAGGCTCTTGTTCAAAGTCAGCAAGTGGAACTGGGGTGGAAATTTAGAGCAGAGCAGGCTGTATTAACAAACTTTGTTACTTCTTCACCAATGCACAAACCCAACCCCCAATCATTTGCCTTGTCAAGTCTTCACAGATTTATTGTTTATTTGTCTAAAAGATTAAAAAGCTCCCTACTTTGCCCACTTTGAGTTTCATATTTTTATGGGGCTGCTGTACAAACGAAATAAAATTAGTTTTTCTCCTATTAATCTGTCTTATGTCAATTTACTTATTAGACCAGCTAAAGAACCTAGAAGGGAATAAGGAAAACAGTTTTCACCTCTACAATGCTATGTAGAAGTTAACACATTGGGTCTATTTCCATTCAACATGACTAGAACTTATTTAACTTTCCATGCCGTTATACCTGGCACATAGTTAACAAATAAACGTTGAATTTTTTAATTCAACACAGTGCTTATGTGCAATGTACTCTGCTAGAACACTCAGCTAGCTGGAGGCAAATACAGAGTAAAAATTGCCCAGAGGAACTCATTTTTTGATTATGGTAAAAAAAAAACAAAAGCTAAAAAAAAAAGTAGTAAACTAGACACTACTGTCTAGAAGTTATTGAGTTCAAATTACCTACAGAAACCAATGTCCCTGTTATTCTTTTTTACTTTGCAACTATCATCACATTTAAAATGCATCTAAAGGTGGAGTTCAGAAGAAGGTGGGTAAAGTGAATCATTCTCAGAAATAAAGGGCAGAAATCAAAATGTGATCTCATGAGGAACTCTAGAATAAAAACAGCAAAAATTATTCTTTGTAATTTCCCTATATTATTTTGTTACTAGAGGCTCAGTGCACAAATTTGTGCATGGGAGGGGTCTGACCAGCCCACCCTGATGGGGGCCCATCCAGCCAGGCCCTCGGGGGAGAGGGGTCGCAGGCGGTTGGTGGCTGGCCCTGCCCCTGATTGGGGGTGTTGGGGGCTGACTGGGGACCG